TCTAGCTTTAGCTCCTAATAGAGTCAGTAAATCCACAATGTATGTACCTGATATGCAGTTGTTTGACAGGGGAGTGGAAAGCAAAGGTACCCGAACACATCTTACATGTATGATGTATATTGGATACAGATATGCACCTTTCTGTAACCTGCAGATAGTATGTTTGTTTCATTTTATTTTGTAGTTTTATATGGAAAAAATCAAATAAAAATTGTTTGAAAAAAAAAAAAAAAGCCACTTGACTTTAATATCACTTTAATATTTGATTTTATAATGATTGAAGTGTCTCGAACGAAAAGCACATTCACTGTCAGAGTTTCGTTTGTTTTAAACAAAATTCTACTGGTGTATGGCCAACATTACTGTACACCAGATGTAGCTAAACTTCGGCCCTCCAGCTGTGGTGAAACTAAAAATCCCATCATGTATCTGACTCTGGAAGTCATGCCTGTGGCTGTGAGAGTTTTTCCTATACTTTATGGGACTTGTAGTTCCGCCACAGCTGGAGTGCTGAAGTTTAAATGCCCCTGTTGTACACTGTTAAGAATAAAAAAGAAATAGGTCCCTTTGTACTCGGTGTAAAAACATTCAATTTTCAGCGCATGGGATTAGGATGCACCCCTCCACCCAATCAGAGACATACTTACAGATTTGTACCCGACAATACGTATGGAAATCTGAGAGCCAATGGTAAGTTGGCAGGGCCACGGCATAGGCCTCCTCTCTATCTTTTTAAAGATGGAAAGCTTTTCTAGACTGTCCCTAAAATCCAAAAAAGTAAAAACAAATTGAATAAAATGCAATGGAAATGTAAATAGATAACAACAAACTCTAAAGGGGAGAGCTCTGTAATTAAAGCAGGATAAAATCCTCAGAAAAAATACTGTCGAGGACCCACCTACAACCTGTAGCAAAGGGGAGAGTAGAGCACTGACTGGGGAGCCCCACTGCTACCGTCAGTGTCTGCAACCGCCCCTCTGCCAATCACTCCACTGGCTCCCACTTGCCCAACGAATAAAATTCAAAATGCTAACAACAACATACAAAGCCATCTACAACTCCGCCGCAACTTACAACACTGACCTCATCTCAAAATATCACCCAAACAGTCCTCTCCGCTCCTCTCAAGACCTCCTGCTCTCTAGCTCTCTCATTACCTCCTCTCATGCTCGCCTCCAGGACTTCTCCAGAGTGTCACCCATCCTCTGGAACTCCTTACCCCATTCTGTCCGCCTATCTCCTACGCTGCCCACCTTTAGGCGATCCTTAAAAGCCATTCTCTTCAGGGAAGCCTATCTCATCTCAACATAACTGCCTTTTACTTCCTCCAATAACTCAATCCAAACAATTATTACCTTTTGTATCACTTGCTCCTCCTACTAGATTGTAAGCTCTCACGAGCAGGAACCTCCCAACCCTATTGTTCTCAAACTGTATTGTACTGAACATTGTATTGTAACTGTACTGTCTCCATTATTTTGTAAAGCGCTGAGCAAATTCTTGGCGCTCTATAAATCCTGTATAATAATAATAATCTTAATCCTACAGATCCAGTGGCACTTTTCACCAATTTTCATGATGCAAGAGGGTGGGAACAGACACTGTTTCTGAGGTCCTGGATTGCATGTTATCTTCTTTAATATTATGAGGAAGGCTATTAAAAATAATTTACTGGTAACAGAGTGTTTTATTTTAAAGGTTTAAAAAAATCTACTTTAATTGGACTTACCTGAAAGTGTAAACCTCATCCAGGCCATCTTCCCCTTCCAGAGCAAACACGATCTTCCTCACCATCTGGATGCCATCCTTCTGCTGCTCAGAAAACCCTTTACCGGGTCCTCGTCTTCTTCCAGCGTCTCCTCCGCCGCTTTCTTGGTCACCATCTCCAGGCTCATCTTCATCCACAGGGAAAGGCAGACTGCAGACAAAAAGACAATACGGCTTCAATTCTGCTCAAACACAAAAAAAAATTTCGCTGCTTCACGTGAGACTCCAATTTTGTTGAGAAAAAATAAAATCAAAATTGAACAGAAATTCTGCGGAGCAGTTTCACAAATCATCTCTCTTTCTTTTCTAAAGACACTGAGATTTGGTAATGTTAATAAAACTATCCTTCCGATTCAATCGGGAGTTTAGTGTTTCCTGTTGCAGGCAGGCGGAGCCTATATCTCGATGGCTGTCCTGGAAGATGACTGGGGAAAAGAAAATAATAAAGTACAATCAAAGGCTCCGGTATAACAAGCACCAAATCCAGTTACTATGTGATGTAATGAATCAACTGTGGTCCCTGACATCATTAAAGGTCAATACATAGTATATCCCATCGCACTCCTGACCGGAAAACCCACAAAAGTCAGGCGTGTGCTGGAGTGACTGCAGATACCTCTGAAAATCAAACGTGACTAGTCAAAAAGTCCCTCGCACCCCACTTCAAATTATAGTCAATCTTATTTATTGACCGTAGTAGTGTCACATTGCTAAGCGACGTTTCGGGACCATGTGGTCCCTTCTTCGCACTTTTGTTCACCTGAAGAAGGGACCACATGGTTCCGAAACGTCGCTTAGCGATGTGACAATACTACGGTCAATAAATAAGATTGACTATAATTTGAAAAGGAGTGCGAGGGACTTTTTGACTAGTGACATCATTAAAGGGTCACACACAATGCACGGGATATCTAGATGTATTTACTGTCAGAGGCTGTGGACAAGCTACACTACAGGTTTTGTTGGAGACATGCTGCAGAAGACAGTGAGACACTGAAAACATGTCACATGTGGCTAGCAGAGGTTCCTGATATTACCCCTTTAAAACCAATACTGCCCCTACAAACTGCTGGGGCCCAAAGGCCACGTAAGTAAAAAATAAAGGGTCATGTGTGAACACAGATTGGGAACCACGGGACTATAGAGTGCCAGTTAAAGGAGAACTATGGGGTTAAGGCTTTTCCCCGTGGTTCTCCTTAGGGTAACGGGAGGACACAAACTAGCGTCCTCCCGTCACCCTAGGCTCAGTATACCACGAGCTGTAGCTCGCGGTATACTGAGACGCCGCAGCTGAAGCGGATCCCGACAATTATGCCGGGATCCGCCCAGCTGCGTGACTGACAGCTGGCTCTGCCTATCTAGAGGCAGAGCCAGATGTACCCGCCCCGTCCGTTCCGCCAGTCAGCGCTGGCGGATCGGAGCGGGGAGGTGGGAATCCAGCCCATCCCGTCACGGCACAGAGCCGTGACAGGATCGAGAGGTGAGCGAACGCCGGTATGTGTTCGCTCACCTCCCGATCTACAGAGCCGACCTGTGACAGTCTCATTGTCACAGGTCGGCTAGAACTATGAGGTGAGTGGAAATCACTCACCTCATACTTCTCCTTTAAAGAAAACAGCTGCCACTTACAAGAACTGCAGGGTGATGCCGGCTTTCTTCAGGTTGGCGATGATAATCTCCAGCTGATCCTCACTGAAGGGGCTGCTCAGGTCTGTGAATACTGCAATGTGCAGTTTCTCATATTTCTTTCCTCTAAAAGAAGATAAAAACTTAGATACAACAGGGAACTCTGTGAAGAAGCATTGGTGAATACATATTATCACCCGGGAGAGTCTTCTCTGATATCAATAACTGCCCAGGCAATCACACAGACACAACGGGATGTGAAGTGAGGGTACTGGAAGAGGTGTCCCCACTAAAAGATTTCCCTTCACTTCCGGCTTCAGTAACAACTGTAAAATGTCGGTCTTCACACCACTTTCTAGAATAATAATAATGATGTCGGAGAGATGTTTGCAATACGAAAGTCAGTGGTGTGATGTTGCAGAATGAAAAAACAATTTCTAAGGCTCAATGGCCCTCGTAAGGCTGCTCTTGCCAGAAAGGGTGACCCTGACTCTAACCGGTGTACTCAAAATCAGAATCCAGTAACAGAAAGATGGCAGGCAGGTCCAAGGGAACTTTAATCGTTCATCAAATAATTGCATCATTTAAGAGGAATCTCCTGCTGTTTGCATTGTATTCTAACGGCGGCCTCCGGCCACTATCAGAATATCCGTGCAGAGCCGGCAGCTCATTGAATGTCTGCTCTGTTTGTTGGAAGATTTTCTGACCAGCTCCTTTGATAAGCGTATCGAGGGATGCCGGCCAAAAGAATGCGACAGCGGCACCCAAATTCATCAAGAACCAGCCAAAATTCATATAGTGTATGGTCAGCTTTAGAGATCTCATAAAAGACGTCACAGTCTATGGTACCGCTCCATGCTGTTCTTTCCGTTGTACTTTGTCACTTCTCTTCATTTCTCTTGTCTATTGTTGCTGCCTAAAAACTTTAACAAAATGCTTGTAAAACAAAAAAGACAACACAAAGCGTTAAGTGCATTGAAACCATTTTCCATATATTACTTACAGAGTCTCCTTCTGCAGAATGTCCATGGAGACGATCAGAGCATCGAGGACTGAAAAGTTAAAGATTTGTTTAGACGATAATGACTTAGAGCAGTACTACCTGTCACAGATAGTAAGGTGACCCTCCCCGAGCCATCTCCAGAGGGTCTGGTGGGACACTGATGGGGTTTGGATGCAGCCACAAGGAGTATTTCTAGCAGTGGGTCTCTGGTGTGACAATGATTTCAGTGGTGATAATACTCTGGGAGGCCAAAAGGAGAAAAAAATAACCACCTTCAGGATTCTGGATGTATGTCCCACGTCCTGCGGCTATCCAGTAAAAGTGATCTGGGTGGCACGAGGACATCCAGGAACATGAGTTCCCAGATATCCCAGTGCCCCAGGAAAGCATTTCCAGGATTCAGAGCTGTCATAATCCCAGCTGAACAGCCAGGTAAATAGCGGATCAAACACTATGCCTAAATTTACACATATTGCTAAATGAATCAAAGAAGTAACTCAGCTGACCCCCCC